GCCTCCATATATTCCTCTCTGGGTCATATGATCAGGAGGAAGGATGTAGTATGTGGCTAAGAATGTTGCCCAGCTGACTCACCCACTGGGAGAATTGGGAGTTTATTCCATCTGAAATGTTTTTTTCTCTGTATCCTTCCTTCCTTCCTTCCTCCTTCCCTCCGTCCCTCCCTCCGTCCTTTCCTTCTGAAACAAAGATCAATGGGTAGCAGAGACCAGAGTCCATTTCTCATTTTCTATATTATTGAGTTGGAAAGAAGAAAAAGTAAAGTTTGAGAATTTTTTGCTCTTCCTCCTATTTATATTGCATTGTAAAACGTATTTAATTTAGGAGAATAAAGAAAATGAAATATCTTTGAACTAGTATATTAGAAAGCTACAGATGCGAATATTAAAAAACAATCCGGGTGTTAATTTATCAATGGAAGTAGTGACTGGAGACACAAAAACTTGTTGTGAAGTTTCATATGTTGTTGTCTGTCAAATCTTTGCTCTAGTTAATAGCTGCAGGTTGATATTAGATGTAACCCTATGCTATGCCTCTTCATCTTTCCTGGACTTAGTTCTGAATGCATTATTGGGGTAGAGAATACTTGCATTTCATATACATTCCTTGTCACCTTACTGATATTTCAAAATATATTCTTACATTGGACCAAAACAAATGGAATTCTTATGCTACCTATTTGGATCAGGTGCAGATTAAAGGAGCTGATGAAGCTGTGGCAGAGGAAAATGCTGCTCTTGGCTACTGTCCTCAAGAGAATGCGCTCTGGTCCAATCTGACCATGAAAGAACATTTGGAGATTTTTGCAGCCATAAAAGGGATCAGGAAGGACAATGCTACGATGGCCATTAATCGGTATGGACAAAGAATCCTTTTGAATAATTAGATTCCTACCACAAGATTTGTTATTAACAGAAGTCAATTTGTATATTCAAAACTGAAATATATTAGTTGCTATAAGTTATTAAGTAGTTATTTTCAGTTTTGATTTGTCCTTTTGCAGCTCTTAAACATTACAACTGAAATTTCTACACATGATACAAAATTACAATGGAATGTCTTTTATTTTCTTAACACGTTTGCAATTGCAGAACAGATCAAAAATTATAAGTTCTGCTTTGTTTTTAGAATATCTCAAGCTCTACAACTCCAAGGGCATTTTAAAAAGACAATAAAGACTTTAGCAGCTGGATTAACTAGAAAAGTAAGTCCGGTATTTTGTTACTCTGGTACTAAAGGACTAATACTAAAGGTTTGATGAACATTTGGTAGCAGCATCAATTGGGTTGCTGCTCTTTGTTATTTCTTGCATTCTGTGATCTCTTTTTGTATGTGTGTGTGAAAGTCCAGACCTTGTTGGTGCTGTTTGAAAGCCAATTTCCATAAGATGGTTGCAAGAAGAGAATGCCTAATACTGTACAGTATGGCAGCTCTAATGGCATGGATAGCCATGCTTCGAGCCCTGGAAACTTGGATTCAGTCTTTGTTAAGCATCAAACCTATATGGCATGGGATCAGCTCATGTTTTGCTTGGAAATATTACATTTTTTGAATCTGTTGGACAGTGGGAATAATAAAATGAACAGCTGGAAAATCAAAGAACAGCGTAGAGCATCCAGTCAAATAATACTGACATATTAAACTTTGACTTTGCTTAACACATGTTGTGTTCTGCATAGCATGCAATTAAAAATTATGGATTGGGAAATTACCATCTAGTAAATTCAAAAATTAATTCTCATATATTTAACTTGATTCATGCATACTGTAAAACAGTGGCCCCCAACCTTTTTTGTTCCACGGCCCGGTACTGGCATCACAAAATAATCTGCGGCCCGGTACCGGCATCAGCACGCATAACAAGGCAAGGTGAGCTGAGCGACCGGCCAGCCAGCCGTCCCCCGCTTCACCCCACCACCTTCAACTCCTCCTTTGTACCTTTGTCGATGGGCTTCGTTTCGGGATGGCCGCTCGGCTCACCTTGCCTTGGGTGCTGAAAGAATCCTTGCGGCTTAGTTTCATTCGAAGCCTCCCCCTTTGATGAAACTAAGGCGCGAGGATTCCTTCATGACCCAAACAACGCTTTCCAACCGGAAAAGCTCACCAGAAGCACTTTCTCATCAAACAAGATGGTGGCACCCAGCAAACCGGCGGCCCAGTAGGAAATGTTCCATGGACTGGTACTGGTCCGCGGCCCGGTGGTTGGGGACCCCTGTTGTAAAATATTCCAAACTCTGCTGTATTTCTATAGGAGCATCATAGAAGTATTAGTGTGATTCTAAATAATACATGGCAGGAAATGTGATATCATATGTCATATTTCATAATTTTGTTTTGTTTTGACTTCAGCTGCCTAGAGCAAACTGTGAAAGATGAGGAATGTTAGTATTAGGATTTAGTAGAGTGTTGAGGAATAATGAACATTTTTAATTTCTTGGTCCTGATTATGCGTTTCCAACTTAAGGCATCTGCATTCATTATTAATAAACACTTTATTCATCCTGGTTCATGATAAGTTCATATAAAAGTAACAAGATCTTTTGACATTTTTTTGGTTGATTGAATTGGTTGATTGAAGCCTACTGAACATTTTAGCAGTCTTTTTTTCTAACATATTCCTGTGGAACTTTAGAGATTCAAAAATGTGTAGTTGAAAAGCACTTTACAAATACCTTTTTAAAATTATGTCTTCACATTTCTGTTCTGTGTTTGCATGAAATATTGTGGTTTCTAAGATAAGATTCGTTGTCTACAATTTAGCTGTGCTTTGCTCTGAGCATATTGGGTAATCCCACTCTGATGCTTTTGGATGAACCAACCACAAGCCTGGATCCAAAAGGGAAGCGCCTAGTGTGGTAAGTGACTCAGGGATTCCCTCTTTAGAATAAGAGTTGCACTCTTATAAAAATGACAAATTCCAGTCTCCCCATTTCCCTCCTTCCTTTCTCTTTTAATTCTATTGTGTAGGGTGGGGAGATCTTCTACAAAAAAAAATATCTAAAGCCTAGGACTAAACATTACTTCTTACACCCGAATACAGAGAAAGCATCTGACAATATTGCAAGAGGAAACACGTCCCATTCATTCCTCTAGAACACAGGTGTCAAACTTGATCACGTCACGTGATGTATTGTGTGACGTATCATGACATGTTTTACCTTTGCAGAGGCAGGGTGGGTGTGGCCTGTGCGTGATGCATCCAGCCTTCAGTTTGACAGGCCTGCTCTGGAATATCTCACCCACCGTTGGAAAATGTTATGCTCCTGTCTGTGCAGATAAAGAATCTGACTCATGCTGAGGAAAACTGGTTTCCTCCTAAATGGCAGCTTCTCTTCTGTCGTTCTCCTCATGATGTTTGTTATGTTGTCGGCAGGACACAACGAGGCAGACACGGAGCTGAAGGTTAACATCTCTTTATTGAAGCATAACAGGTTGCTGCGGCTGCCCTGGCTGGGCTGGCAGCCCAGAGGGCGAGAGCAGCTGATGCCGTTTGACAGCTCCCTTTTATAGCAGCTGTCAAACGGCCTCAACCAATGGGAATGGTTGGTGCTCCCGCTCGAAGTGCGGACCAGACTGAGGACTGCAGATGTTAGGGACACAACACCCCCTCCCCCCAGCCAGGGCCATGGTGGACCTGACTGGGAACTGCAGGTGTCAGGGACACAACACCTGTTAACAGAGAAAAGTCTTGAGTCTCCCTTGGAGAGACTTTGGTCATTTTCCATTGGGGGGGGGGGGGAGTGGTAAGAAGAAAAAGTTGCAGGTTTTCTTATCCCTCTTTACAATTCCTTCATGCAAATTAATTTGGGACTAGATGGGGATATTTTGTTTTCTGCCGTGGAAGATGTGCCCATCAGTTATGCAGAATCAAAACAGAATGGCAATGGCCAGAACAGACCTTTGGAGCTGCTTCAAGGTTGCTTAAACTTCCTCAGCCATTTGTTGTCAACAGGAGAGCAATTCGCACTATGCTGCAGGAGAAGGAAGAAGGAGTCATTTTGACAACTCACCACATGGAGGAAGCAGAGGTGTTGTGCGACCGAGTAGCTATCATGGTGTCTGGACAGCTTAGGTGGGTTTCTTTAAATATTTTACTCTATAACAGGCTACCCAAATAGAGAAAATACAGATAAAACCCAACTAGAGAATTTCATGAAGCAAAGTGAATGAAGTAAAGGATTGTTCTTGTTCTGCTTCTTCTTTTTTTAATTCAAAGAAGCTTGCTTTCTTCAGTTGATGATATCAGTATGTTTTCTAGTAATAGCTTAAGTAGCAATTTTCTATTTCTAAGTGGATTGTGAGGACACAAAGACAAATGCTGAAACTGATTGAATTACATGGGAGTTCAGATGATTCCACAATGGACTAGAGAAGATAGAGATATTACACAGATTCCACATCACATAGAGCAAAAACATATATGGGCAACAATAACAAATGTGCCGTGTGTGTTTGATACAGATAGCAGGTGTTCTGGGGTGAAGTTTTTTTGTTATGGGCAAAAAACTTCCACGTGAAGAAATGTCCAAACTGGGCCAAAGTATGCATTCACCTTGGATAATTACCAAAGGAAAGCCACTTCCCATATGGGCAAAATTCACGATTGATGGGAATTGGAGATTGATGGGATTGATGGGAATACAAGATCAGACGACTTCATATAGGTATTCTCTGAATGCATGGGGAAGGACAGCTGCATGAAATATTAGTGGAAATGGACTATATTTCAAAATAGAACTAATAGATACCATCGGTGTCATGTCCCCAGCCTGGCAGCAGCCATTTACCTGTCCACTGCCTCCCTGTAAACTGCTTGGGAGTTGCCATTTCTCTGAGGGCTTCCCCACTAACTTTGCTTTTTGAAAGTCAGCAGGAAAGTGAAAAGAGCTCATTGCTGAGCAACCCACAATTGTTGCTTAACCATGACAACAAGGAGTGCAGGAATTGCTGTACTAAGCGATAAGATCGATGACAATCATATTTCTTAGCCATGGAAATTCTAGTCCCAATGTCTGTTGTTAAGTGATGTCTATGTCTGTCCAACACTTTGTCCACCTAATGAGAAGGAGGGACTCACTGGAGAAGAGCCTAATGCTGGGAATGGGTGAGAAGACGGGGACTACAGAGAATGAGGTGGCTGGATGGAGTCACTGAAGCAGTCGGCATGAGCTTAAATGGACTCCAGGGGATGGTAGAGGACAGGAAGGCCTGGAGGAATGCTGTCCATGGGGTCGCGATGGGTCGGACACAACTTCACAGCTAACAACAACAATCTATGCCTGAATGGTATATGATAATCCTTTCTTTCTGCAGGTGCCTTGGTTCAATTCAGTACTTGAAAAGCAAATTTGGGAAAAATTACTTGCTACAAATAAAAGTAAAGGGAGTAGAACAAGGAGATCTTGTGAATACTCAGGTTCTAAAGATTTTCCCACAAGCAGCACGTCAAGAAAGGTAACTTCTCTGCAAGCATTTTTAAAAAATGTTTTAATTAGTACATTCCATATTATTCTTCTGTATTAATTCCATATTAATTAGTACATTCTGTGTTATTCTTAGAGGGAATTTCTTAACTTTTTTTTTTGTTTGTGGGATGTTAAAATTAACAAATTAACCACCTGAACATAGCCTCTGTTCACTCGGCCTTTGATTAAGGAATCAATACAGACTGATTTATTTGGCTTTAGTATGCATTTTCTAAGCTGAATTAAGGCTCTCACATGAAGCTGTTTTCTGAAATTACCATCAGCTACTGTATAGCTGGAGAGTTTTAAGTAAATGGGAGTGTATATGTTCCATTTTGTCAACCTCACATTAAAGAGGAAGTTTTAATATTGTGGAAAACTC